AACCTTTCAAATCTCAGAAATGCAGCACTGAACAAAACGGGGTCGAGTTTTCTTTAAAGGAAAACAAATGGAAAATGTGTGCAAAGTTAGCAAAGAAAGGAAAGCAGCGTTTCTGCAGCTCCTTCTATCTGGAGACTGACTGCCCAGCACACTCTGCTTACAAACTGGGTGCAAGGAGACCCTCTGCTATAACTCCATTTGACTATCCAGCCTTCTTTTGTCCTCAAGATTACGCAGAGAAGATCAAGCACCTCAATGCTAGTTACATATTGGCTTGCATTTTCTTTTTCGGTTGTTGTACATGTAGCAGATTCCAGAACGCGGTCTATTTCGCCTTTATCATTTCACATCAATATTCAAAGAATGATGGTAATGTCCTAAGTAAATAGGAGTCAGGCAGCAATGTTTTTCTTTCTAAGTCTATTTTCTGTTCCTCTTGTTGCATCAATATCTCCATGGGCGCTGCCTCTCAAACATTACCCTGGGAGATTCGTTTTTCTTCCAAAAACATAGGAAGCACATTTCTCCTAATAACATGATCAGGGTATTATGGGCTTCACTGAAGGATACCTACAAGGTTCTTGCCCACAATGTTATCCTGGAAATGCCTACTGGAAATCCTGCTGCTGACACATGCTTTTTTAGGGAGACAAGGTGGGTGAAGTTATGTCTTTTGTCTGCTGGAGAGAGAGAGACAAGCTTTTGAACCACATGCAGCTCTTCTTCAGGTCAGCGAAATTTACTCTGAGTGAGGCCATCAAATATAAGGTGGAACAGACAGCTTAGCATTCGTAATTAACATATATTTCAAGGTGAAAATATTACCTCTCCCACTTGGTCTCTCTAATATCCTGGGACTGACACTGCTACAAAACCACACATGCACACATTCTTTATAATGTGTGCTTCACCATCATTCCAAATACTTTGGGTCTGATCTAAACCCCATTGACAGCCACTGGAAATTTTCACCAACTTTTATTATCACTGGAACAAGTCCTTAGCTGGTGTAAATTACTATAGCTCTAGCAAGCTTCAATGGAGTTACATCGACTTACACCATCTGAGGATCTGGCCTCATTCTCTTTCCAAGAGAGGAAAGCACTTGAGCATATGCTTAACTTTAAGCATGTGCATAAGATCCATGCCGTGATGCACGCACTTAAGTGCTTTGCTGAGTAAGGATGGACTGTGGAATCAGGTACTATATCGCCATGTTCTGCTAACATCACAGGAATGTGCCTCCCTGACGCAGTATTCAGCCTTGTTGGTGAAACTCAACTGCACACTTATGAGACACAATATAGACCAGTGTTTCTTAAACTTTTTAAGACTGAGGAACACCAAATAATAAATTTTCTTTATGAGGAACACCAAGGATTTTTTGTTGTGGGGAAAAAGAAAAGGTCAAGGGGAAATTATTGAGAAAAAAAAAGGGGCTGGGGTAAAGTTATTGAACCAAAAAAAAAAAAGTTGCCTGCCCCTTTAAGGGTGGCCATTTTGAATTCTGTTGTTCTCCATGGCACACTGGTGTGCCATGGAACACAGTTCAAGAAACACTGATATAGACGATGAAACTGTCATCTTTCAACTTACTTCAAAATTTTTCATGATACCAGACCAGTTGCATCCAGGCGTCCCACAGTGCACTTTGAATTCAGAAATCTCTTTATTAATGGCAGCATCGCTGAAAGCCTAGAAATTAACAAGATGAGCAAACTCTGGTCAATAAAATGATCCAAACAGCAGCTATGAGAAGGGAATGGGCTGGGAATTAATAGCTTGAAAAACTTCCTGATTTTTTTTCTTTTACATTTAATTTTCTGCAAAAAATATTAGCTGCACATGTATATAGAAAAAGGCCAAAGGCTTGCAAAATCCTATTACTTGTTTCTTATAGCTCAAAAATTAAATTATTTGAGTGATTTTAACTTATTAAAAATATGCAGTTCCCAGTGAAAACTTTCAGTATACAGTTTTTTTTCTACTCAGAAACCTGAACATAGGCACATGCAAAGAATGTGTTGATGGAACCTTAACTATGGAGGACAATACCTCATGCCACTCCAGTTGGGGACGTTAACACCTCTTTATCTGTTGCAAAGAGGATTTAAGACTCAGCCAGAATGAGGGACAGGATGGGGGGAGGGAGGGGCACATGCTCTCAAATTCTGGCTGTTTCCATTTAGCTTGCTTAGTGGCCTAGACAAATTCAAACCACATGCATGCACTTCTTCCAGCACTACAGAGGTTGTTTTTTTTCTTGCATTCACTGTGAAGAACCCTGCGATAAATGAATAAAACATGAATCAGGGCAGCCTTTTAATATCACATCTTGCACAAGCAAAAGAGACACAGTAGAACCGAGATAAGTATTAAGAACACAATATGGAAAAGTACTGTTTCCCCACAGATCGAAATACGGAGCGCTCAGGGGAGGGTTACTAGTCCTCCTTCAGTGAGTGCGCATATGAAATAGCCAATCACCATACTGAGAATAATAAGAGGCCTTCCCTGCTTTCTAGAGAAAGAATTACTCCTATCACACAGGAGTGGGGAACCTTTTTTGGGTCGGGGGCCACTGACACACAGAAAAACCAGTCAGGGGCCGCACACAGGTCAGAAGCAACACCCCCCCCCCAAAAAAAGCAAAAATCAATTACATGTTCCCAACTGAGAAGGAGAAAGACACTCCCCACATTTCCCTCACACACCAGAGCCTGGGGGGGCAGGGCAGCCTAGTAGATTTTGTGTGCTCCAACCCCACGGTGGGGGAAGGCGGGGCAGCGGGGGGGGAGTCCCAGCCCCAAAATGGGGGGGGGGGGGGGAGGGGCTGAGCCTTGGGGGCTGGATTCCAGCCCCTGGGCCTGAGGTTCCCCACCCCAGCCCCATAACATCACTACGAGACAGAAAAGGAAAAGCTCCAACATCTCATCTACTTCGTCCCTCTTGATCACTGCCGTATATTCAACAGAAACAAAAAACAGGACTATGTAGCACTTTAAAGACTAACAAGATGGTTTATTAAGGGATGAGCTTTCGTGGGCCAGACCCACTTCCTCAGATCAAATAGTGGAAGAAAATAGGCACGACCATATATACCAAAGTGATACAATCCAAAAAAAGTGAACACATATAAAAAGGACAAATCAAATTTCAGAACAGAGGGCGGATGGGGGGGGGGTAAATGTCTGTGAGATAATGATATTAGAGGTGATAATTGGGGAAGCTATCTTTGTAATAGGTAAGATAATTAGTGTCTTTGTTAAGACCCCGGTGTAAAGTGTCAAATTTAAGCATGAATGACAGTTCAGAAGTTTCCCTCTATTGTATCCAGGTTTAATTAACCCAGGAACAAAGCTTCCATCTCTTCCTGTTGGAAAGATCTTTAGGAAACAACACAGCACTAACAAAACTCTAACCTGTCCATTATACATGAGCCCAGGGAACAAAATTATTTGCCCATTAGGTAAAAGCAATTACAAGAAAGAAGTCACCAATTCAGAAAAGAATTAAAGAGATCAGGGCTTTAAGACTTGAAATGGCAACAAACTGTGGAAAAGGGAAAACACTGGGTCTTGCCTCTCACGCTGTAGCAATTAGTTTTCATTCTGTAATTGCACTGTTCAAGCTGTGTTATAACCAGTTTTACAAAACACAGTCCTTACACAATGTTCTTTTAGACTGGTTAGAAGAGGTATCTTTACAGAAGAGGGAATATTGGATTTTGAAGTCAGCACCAGAGTAGCAAGAATGAAAAAGAGATTCTGGAAGAATAAATATCTGATGAGAAAGGACATCAATCTAAAGACTAAATTCCAAATGCTTAACTTGCATTTGGTCTGTGTTAAATTATGGCTGTGAAAAACTGACATTCAAACAATCAATGATAAAGAAACTACAATCTTTTAAAATATAATGGATATCATGTAACCAATGAAAAAATCTTGGAGATTATTTAACTCAGCAAATGCCAGTTAGAGTTTGTATTAAAAGAAAGATTCGATTTGCAGGGCATGTTTTAAGAGCGTCAGTAGGCAATGCACGTGTACAGGTACTGGAAGAAAAAGCTTGTCTGGAGGAGAACATTATACCGAAAAAGATGACCTGGGATGTATGAGGCGATACCCTGAGTGGACCAAAAGAACTATTCAGCTACAAAGAGATTAGCAGAATGGGCTACTATGGCTGCAAATCTCCAATAATAGAGTTGCCATATAAGAGGAAGATAAAATGATTTAGTTCTGTCTATACACATCAAATCAATGTTAAAAAACTGTTGTCAATTTCATCATATAGTAACAATTACTGCCATGAGATCCGTTTACATTAGGGATGTGAAGGTTTAACTGGTTAACCACTAAGGCTGCAGATGCTTCCCACCCACCACAATGGGCCCAGGTACCCCACAAGCAGGGGACTGCTCTGGCTAGGATGCCAGAGCAGCCTCAATCTGTGAAGAAGGGGGACACGTTCCAGCCCAGCGGAAAGCTGGAGCGCCCCCTGGCTCTTCTGCCCATTAACTGGTTAAACGATATGTTTTACCGGTTAGCCAATTAAATGGTATTTTACATCCCTAGTTTACATATAGATCTTCTGATTAATATAACAGCACTGCATTGTCAGAAGTTGAAAACATCCTTAAAATATTTGTAAACCATAACATTATTTGAGTCTTTTCATTCTAGAAAAAAAACGCATTATATTCTTTGACATATGGAATGTCTTTAAACTGTTGTCACTCTCAGGGTGCATCTAGACTACATTCCTCTTTCGAAAGAGGAATGCAAATGAGGGAAATTGAAAATGCAAATGAAGTGCAGATTTACAAATCTCGTGCTTCATTTGCATAATCACATCCGATCATTTTTTCAAAGAAAAAAAAAGCAGTCTAGACATGGTTCTTTTGAAAAAAACAACAACCCGTTTTCGAAAGAACACTTATTCCTGAAAAAATTAGGTTTACAGGGTTCTTTCGAAAAAGGGTTTTTTTTTTAAAAAAAAAACTGCGTCTAGACTGCTTTTCTTTTCGAAAGAACTTTTTTTGAAAAAGCAATTGGACATGATTATGCAAACGATGCATGAGATTTGTAAATCTGCACTTCGTTTGCATTTTCGATTTCCCTCATTTGCATTCCTCTTTCAAAAGAGGAATGTAGTCTAGACGTACCCTCAGTTCCCGTTTCTCTTTGCAGAATCTTCACCTGATCCCTCAAGCTCCCCTAAAAGATAAACACTGACAGTGTTAGACTCTGAGCTGTAGATGGGAAGGTTGGACCCTTTATCAGCTACCCTGTTCTTTTTTGTTTTGGCAGGGAAGGGGGATGGTTTATCGGCTCGAAACAAAAATCCGAACTGATTCCTTTTCACGAACGCTGTTGATTGATGACACTTTGATGATTATGTAACTGGTAAAGTAGGACCCAACCCTGTTCATACATGTATCCATTCAAGTAACTAAGACTATTCACTTGAGCAAGGTGGCAGGATCAGGTCCCAAGCCTGCTAATACTTGCTCAATGGCACATAGTCTAGAGAAGTACTTTCTGCGTACACTTCCACTTACAACGTCTCCAAAGCATTGGGGAGATATTTTCTCGCTTCCTCTGAAGTTTCTGTTTCTTGGGCAAAATTACAGCAAGTTTAACACCTCTGGGAGGGAGGTTACTTTCTATAGCCATTTTACAGAGGGGTATTGTGGAGCATCAGGGATTTTTGTGACTTAGCAAGGGTCATATAGTGAGTCATCAGGAGAGCTGGAAATGAAACTTGGTAACCATAACTCCTAGTTACTTGCTCTAGAACATCTGCACTATGAATCCTCATGCTTCAGGGCATAAGATTATCACCAGCTGGTGTTGGAAGGAATTCTCCCTCCTGGAAAATTAGGTTTATGATGGGGGTTTTACACTTTATCTCTGAAGCATATAGCATTAGCTGCAGTAGGAGACAAGATTCCAGATTTAATGGAAGACTAATGCTTTCTAGTATGGTTGATCCATGTCTCTTGAATGAACAAACAGTGCCCTCATAACTGCAATTATCTGATTAATTTGTTCCATTTTCTTTGGTAGACTATTATTACTGAACCCTGCAATGTCAGGCTTTCATATGGACAAACCAAACGTTATAAACATGGGGAAAATGACTTAATGAGTACACACTACCTTTCAACACCCACCTTCTTGAAAATGATATTAATTAATTTCTTTTAAATATTCAAGAGCTCCATCCAGTTAAGGCAAAAAAAAATCATTTATCAGGATATAGGGATTTTTGCATTTTGTTGAACAAACATCTATCATGCTGTTTCTTTTGACCTTGCTTGTCTGGTAAATGTTCTTACCCGTATGTGTATTTGAGCAAGAGAAGCAGTCTGTGCTTGCGTCTGTGTGCATTTGATGTCATAAATTGTCCTGTAGTGGTATGGAAATGGGCCACTGCTTGGAAACAGAACTAAAAATAAAAGCCTCAGTGCTTATATTCCATGAAAATAATTTAAAAAAACTAAAATACTTGTACCTTTGTCTCTACATTTTTAAATAGATGCTCAGAGCTATCCTTAGGATTAATGGGGCCCTACGCAGTACTATTAAACGGGTGCTCCCGTGCCCGATGGCAGCCAGGGTGAGGATGACAATTTTTTGAGAGATGTGATTTTATAATCCTTAGCACCACACTGATGACATATTTGTATAGCAAATTTCCAACTAAGATCCTGTCAACTACCACAGGAAATTCAGAAACTGACAGTATGGACCTGGGGCTGGCAAATGCCTGTTAAATAGCTACCTTGCTGCTTGAATGCTCTTTCATGGGGTCCGTGTTGTGTTAGTAGCCCTGGCAGGCTTTTTTATTTTAAGTGAACTAGATCCCCTCTGGAGGAAGCAAGGCCACAGAACAAGGACAGGAAGAGGTGGGTGAGTGGACAGTAATATCTAGAGGTGCCCTGAATTTTTAGGTGCTCTACATCACAGCATAGGCTGTGTATGAGTAAGGACCTCCCTGTAGGGGCTTACTGGCCAGTTTTCAGTATGCTTGTAATATTCATCCAGTCTATATTTTATAAAAATATGATGATTTACAAAGTATATGGCCAGGTTCTTAAGAACACAGTTTTTCCAATGTTAACAGTTACCATTCACATAGTGTTTTACATTGACTATGAAACCATCAAACCACCCCCAAAGATATGTATGTATGAGGATCCCTGTATGCCTTGAACAAGACCATAGATCAAGTTACTGTCAAAAATGGAGTCGAAATTCAAGAGTTCCTGGCTCTCAGTCCCATACTCAACACTCCAGACCATGACATCTTCAACAGAACCTCTATACATAAGTTGCAGTAGACTTCGCATTGCATAAATTTGCAATCATATGGACAGGTGTGAATGAGTACACAATTTAGTCCCAGCTGGTTAATGCATATTGTAATCCGATATTACACCACAGTGCAATTAAATACAATATAGATCTTCCTCTGAATCAACCAGCACTGGCCGCTGAACGCTTGCAGCCTTGTGCACAGCTGGAAAATGACCAAAACCAAAGAAAAGAAAAAGCAGTTTAACAACCCCACAGTGGAGTTTTTATTATGTCAAAAAAGAACTTGAGAATTTCCTGGCATTACAGAACAGATTATTATAAATGCATCTAACTTCAGAGGGACAGTCCTGGTGACAGCGTCCTCTGTGCTTTCTGTTTCACTCTCATATATGTTAATCATTATGGACGCAGCTCAAGCAGAGCAGCTGTGCGGAACGGCAAAGGGCAAATCGCCCTCCTCTCTTTCTTCCCCCCAGGCCGGCGACTCCCTCAAAGGATCATTCATTTGAACCACTCGCTCTGGCCCCCCGGAACATCAATGGAAATCTGTCAACAGCAATGCCAACACGGAACTCCCCCATCTCCTCTCAAAAGGGCCCAATCTACAGCCCAATGAAGTAAAGGAAAAGATTCCCATTGACATCAAAAGGGTCTGAATGAAGTCTAAGGAGCGAGAACCAGCATCTTCTCTATTTCATTGTTATGGTTCGCCATCTCTTCTCTATCATTCTGCCCCACCGACAGCCATAACGTTCATACCACTGAAATTGCACTACATCTCAGGTTTGACTTGAATTCACATTTACAAACACCAAATATATTCAAAAGCCAATATCACCCTTCACTAAGGGTGAAATTCAACCCTATGCAGGAGCATGGGATGAGGCTAGAGTACACGGCACGAAGGACGACTTCCGCCATATGAGAAGGAAAGCCAGGCCCGAACCAGCCTGCCCCAGATACAAACAGCCTCCAGAACTTGGAGGAAGTTGTGACACATCTAAATGCCACGGGCTCTTTTCAGCAATGAGTACATGCTGGATTTGTCATGCTGCGGCTCTGGCTTCACTGACGAAACCAAAATCTTAAGAGGGAAAACTCATCCCTGTGGGAAAACCCTTCAGAGACAGTTCAGACTCATGTCTCCTTTTTAGATAAAGTCAAGTTTTATTAAAAAGTCACTTATGCTACTTATTCCACATATTTCTTAACCATTTGATATACTTGTCACCACAGACAATGTCTTTTATGGTTTAATAGTTGGGAGAGAAAACAAAGGGTAAAAGAAAAATCCGTAATATTAAAAATCTCAGGGCTAGCCATATATCCAACTTTAGAAATGCACAGGATATTGGATGCTTCCTGGTCTCACTCAGATAAAATACACAGGGGCCAATCTATCTCTGCACAAGAAAAATGGACGGCTTATAAATCTTTCAACAGTTTTCATAGCAAGTTGCGTATCTTATTTCGATTTTAGGGTGCTGTGTGCACGCACCATTCATTTATAAACTCAGGACCTCGACCCTGCAAGCTGATTCACAAGCAGAGTCCTCAAACCAGCGTGAAGCCCCACTGAATTTCCCCAGTACTCTGTGCAGGCATTAGGGATCCACTCACAAGATTGGCGCGCTGGTCACCGCATTCCACCTACAATTTCTTAGGAAAGTCCCTTGACCAGTTTTCTAGGTATCCCATGCTAGAGAAATCCCAAGGGACTGATAAATATCACGAGCAGTAGCTAGGGTTAACCCTGGACCCCAGGTATTCTGACATAGAGTAGCTGCAGAATTTCCTACAGAATTAGATATTTTCCCAAGATCCTACAGAATCCAGCATCTTCTCTCAAATTTTCATTTTATGGGTGCCTTTTGCCCAGTACTTTATTTTCTTTCCCTTTCTCCATTGAGACCTAGGTGCAGATGGCTTTTGCTTCACACCATTCCCCACAAAGGAGATTTAGTTCGATTACCAAGCATGCTTTCTTGCACTATTCCATAAAACCAGGCAGTAGGGGATTCGGGAGCAAGAGCTGAGGACCAGTAGTCATGCTATAGGGTGAACTGGTCCCCATGGAGAATAGTGCAGCGGCTGTTCTCTGGGGCATTGAACCACTGATACCAGCTGCGAGCTCCCCTACTGCCTGGCAAACATGAGGGAAAGAAGATTCTGGCCAGTGCTGTTCTGAGAACATTTCTGGAGCCAAACCCCAATGAAAATCCTCATCATCAAAATTATTCTTCAGTGAAAAGCTCCTGGATGGAAAATTTGTCAGTGGCTATTTTTGTCTGATTACTTTCAACAGTGAGTTTTTTATGATGCTCTCCAGGCTCTCTCGCTCTCACAATGTTCTCCAGCTGGTCAGTCTACATTCATTTATTATTTTTTACTAGATGATTTACCCGGCATTACTTGGGTCCTTTAAGGCAGGGAGGTAGGCATGTGGGGGTGTGTGTGTGCAGGAATTAGGGTTCGGGAAGTGAGGAGGGGCTCAGAGAAGAAGGCGTGAGGTGCAGGTATCAGAGCAGGAAATGGGGGCTCATGGTAGAGGTTCAGGAGTCAGGGTAGGAGGTTGGGAGGTGGGGGTGCTCAGGGCAGTCAGTGGCTGCTCCCCAGGGTTGGCCTAGGGTGATGGGGGCTGCCCAGCCACCAGCTTCTCCCCAGGGCCAGCCTGGGGCGGTGGGGGCTGCGCTGGACAGTGGGCAGTTTCTCCCCAGGGCTGGAGCACTTGCTTCCCCCCGGTGGTCATTCAGGAGTATAAATGAATCACAGCCTCCCTTTCTCTTGGATGAGAACCAATCACATTCCACGCACATCCCATTGTCCTGGCCTGGCTTTAAGTTATGATAAGAGGAAGCATCATGCCAAATTTGGTGGTCCTAGCTCTTGCTGTTTAGGAGGAGTTCTTGAACAAACAGTCTCAAAACAGATGGACAAACAGGCAGGCAGACAGACAAACTCTCTCAAATATATAAGAGATACAGGTTTTCGTACCCCACTTGCCAGTGTATTCTCTGAGCCACCTTCCAGGAAGTATGTTAGGTAATATAACTAACATTTGTCAAGTGGGCTTTGTTCTCATCCTCTCTCCAGAGGGAGAAGCACGTGCATTGCCGTGTTTTAGTTATGTAAACATATCTGTTGCTATGTGCTTATTTTAGAAAAGGAAGGTCAAAGAAAGGCGCCTTGCACGTGGACCACAGAAACAGGATGATAGTGATGGATTTTAGTTCTTAGGGGATTTCATTTCACAGTCTTGGACCAGCCCCAGATAAAGTTTTGTCTCCAACCCACAAATCTGTCTCCCTCTGTTTCCTGGCTGGCTTTGATTATGGTGTGGATACATTTTTGTACAGTGCCTAGCACCATGGTCACCAACCAGTCGATCGCGATCTACCGGTAGATCTCGGAGGCTCTAAGAGTAGCTCTCGAGCCCTCTCTAAACTGCGCACCTGTGCAGTACATTTACATTAGATTTCCTCATTTGAGGAGCAGCTACTCACTGAGCAACAGCACGGGTGAGTAGCTGTGAGGAATGGTGGGAATTTTTTTTTTAAGTAGCAGTATAAGGATTGGGGATAGCAAGTGATGGAGAGGAGGAGAATAGAGAGGGCAGGGCTTCAAGGAAGGGGCGGGGTGGTAGATCTTGGCTTGGTCTGTCATTTAAAAAGTGATCTTGGGTGTGTAAAGGTTGGAGACCTCTGGCCTAGCACAAAGGGGCACTGAGATGGCTGCGATCTGTAGATGCGACCACAATATGATGTTAGATAATAACAATCATAATTGAGGCTCTGTGTGGAGTGCGTGTGGCCTTCTTGATGCAGAACTTCATGGAGTTTGCAAGATGCTACATACATCCACTTTTTCAATCAAAACTGAAGGAAAATACAGGATGTTAAGGTGCTTAGGTTAATATGCACAACTCTGGAATCAGGGACTACCACTTTCTTTATTATCCCCTCATTTTAAAATAAAGTTTTCATGACTCTAGCATTAGTCCAGCAAGATAAGTGATACATTAGTACAAACATGATAACATACCCTTTCTTCTGTCAACAATCTGTCTTCATTTGTAGTTCCAGGATCATCCACATTACATTTCTGGCAAATTGGGTTTTTATTGTTTCTGGTGGGGAAAAAATTTCAAAAAATGATTTGTGAATATAATTCAGAGACCCTCTGTTTCAAGAATGATGAAAAAACAGAAGCATTCATTTTAGCTCAAAGTCCACATGCTTTATGGTAAAAGGACCAGCTTTATGAAAGAAAACGGCAAAACTGCTATTAACTTTAATGGGACTACAATGTAGTCCACAATTTGTAACCGTCTATCTAAAAAATCCAAACCGCCATGACTAATCTGCTCCACAAAGCCAGCAAAGGTGGGTATCTACTTCTCTCAGGATACATCTACACAGTAACATTATTTCAAAATAATTAGTGTTGCTTCAAAATAACTTAGTCCGCATCTACACAGCTGGCAGTTATTTCAAAATAAAGTCGAAATCTTGTCTTGCTCTGACTCCTGTAGCCCTCATTGCACGAGGAGTAAGGGAAGTCAGAGGAAGAGTGCTCTATTTGAAATCAGTGCTGTGTAGACGCTCTCAGTTACGACATAAGCTATTTCGATATAAGCTATGCAACTGACGTAGCTCAATTTGCATAGCTTGTTTCAAGTTCCCTGCTGTGTGGGCACACTCTCAGTGAGGCAGGCACTAACGCTACGTAGGATAGGATACCCTGAAATCTAAAAACAATGAGTAATTCTGTGGCACCTTAGAGACTAACAAAAGTATATAGTGTCATGAGCTTTCGTGGGCAAAACCCACTTCACCAGATGATGAGCTGGAGTAGAAATAGCAGAAACCAGGTATTTTATAACAGAGAGAGAAAGGGAAAAAAAGTAGCTATCAGTTGTAGGACAGGTGCTAATGTTTCCCTGGGCTTGAACAAAGACATTAACTGGATATCGCACTATAAAGTCGGCCTTCCTTGCTTTTCCCACTGCATTTTTACATCAAATGCTAAGTACGGGACACTTCCAGCCCGCTTAATTAGCCTCATTAGCACAGGCACTACAATTGACAGGGACTTTTTTTCTTTCTCTCTCTGTTATAAAATACCTGGTATCTGATATTTCTTCTCCAGCTCATCACGTGTTTTTTGCCCACGAAAGCTCATGATACTATATAATTTTGTTAGTCTGTAAGGTGCCACACGACTACTCGTTTTTAAAGTTACAGACAAACACAGCGACCCCTCTGAGGCCTGAAATCTAAAGGTTTTTTAACACAGAAATAATGTCTTTTCTTCTCTGATAGGCAGCTAGGTTTTTAATTGCCAGGCTACATCTCAGGGCTCAATCTTCTCTTCATTCACACAGGCCTTCGATGTAGTGTTAACTTGCAAAATTGGCTATTGTGTTTACAAATGAAGAGCAATGGCATAGCTGGTGCAGGAGTGAACTCTAGCTTGGCATCCTCGTGCTTTCCAGTAACACAGCCACAAAATGCTCTGGGTTTAGTTTGAAATGTTTCTGAAGTTATCATGTAAACTGTGCCGCTAAAGGGAGAGCCCACAACTTTTCAGGAAGAGGCTTGCACTTCTGAGATGCTGCAATTACCATCCATTACCTCCATTCAAGAAACCCAGCAGAAAAGTGTCCTTGTGACCAGATGAAGAGCATGACATTACTGCCTTGACAGTACTCATAGGACGGTTTGGTTCAGCTTTCAGTTACATGACAAGGTTGTCATGAGACGAGATAAGCAGTCAGGGCAAATTCGGCTCTTACTTTCAGGGGTGCAAGTGACTCCACTGACTGCAGTGCAATTATTCTGGATTCACACCAGTGAGACCAAGCAGAATTTAGCCTAGGAAGCCCAATGTATTCAATGTAAAATGTCATTACATTATAGTGCTTTGACCTCTCTGTCACATGCAGCTAGCTGGCTGACTGACTCAGGGTTTTGTTACAGTTTAATCAGGGTATATATTTAAAGAGGCGAGGGGAGAAGCAGCTAACCAATTGAGAACAATATTTATCTATCTCCAAGCAAAAAGACTGGGATTGCTCGGAGGGTTGGTTCTTCACTGGGCAGTGACCCAGATTTTACATCATACACTTTATAATAGTCTGAAATAACCACATTTTAAGCTTCTAAAGGACCTTTCATCCAAAGATTGCAAAGCACTTTACAAGTGTTAAGGTAACTTCACAATAGTCTCAATATGACTCTCTTCCTTTTTTCAGTCGGGGAAAGGAAACTGAAGTACAGAGAGGTAATTTGCCTAAGGTTATACAGTAAGTCAGTAGCAGAGCCAAGAGGAGACCCTAGGAATCCTGATCACTAGATCACACTCCAAGTCTACAAGACATGCAGGTTGAACCTTTCAGGTCTGGGACTCTCTAGTTCGGCAACATCTGTGGTCCAGCAGGACCGTGGATGTTGCTGAACCAGAGAGCCCTAGAAGAGAGACCTGAGCAGCTGAGGTTGCCAGTGAGTGGGAACAAAGCTGGTCCAGTGGGCCAGCAGCCCGCAAGACCAGTGGTCTGAGGTCAGGGATCCTACCAGGCCAGCAGCCCAGAGCAAAGCCAGGTCAGTGGGTTGGCAGTCTGAGGCTGGTAGCTGGGGGGTAAGGAGTCCGGCTGGCAGGTCAGTAGTCCACAGGGCCAGTGATTGGAAGCAGAGCCCAGCAGCAGGCAGCCAGGCGCAGCAGAGCCTGGGGGCCAGGGTCGGTGGCCAGGAGGGGAGTCCAGCCAGGAGGCTGGTGCCTCCCTGGGAGAGCCCTAAGGCCTGACCTTCCCTAGTCCAGCAAACTCCCTTTTTTGGGACCAGTCAGATCCTACGGATGCCGGACCAGGGAGGTCCAACCTGTACATCCTGAAAATAATATCACTGTAACAAAATATACATGGATAATAACATTACTGGTATCCAAATCCCAGGTATTTTCAACCTCTACTCAAGCACTTTCTTTCAACTTTTATCACAACAGATCATCCTACTAGGGTTGAATATACAGAACCTGCCACTTGAAATCTGTCGTCTTAACATATGTCTTATCACGTGGTCCCCAGTAGAAAGAACTTACCGTACAATCCACAACAGACAAGCCGAGCAGTATCTATGCCCACACAGTGTTTGCTGGGCTTTCTTCAAGACGTTATTACAGCTGCTGCAGAGGTATTTGTGATCGGGGACAGTCTCACAGATGGAGGTAGGATAACCAAAGGGAAATTCGTTTTCATCAGGAGTTGAGACGGGGCCATCCGGAGACACTCTGGTTGCCTTCTCAGCCATCTGAAGTAAAATGCTGTGAAAGACGTGGAACACACTAACTGCTGAAACAAGCAGACAACCACTCCCTTAGATGCGAAATAATACATTGAGCATCAAAGTCTGCCAGGCAACTTCAAACCAGTGAAGTAATCTAGTGATCTGTTTAATTAAATCTGTAGCTGACATGCGTGACTAAGTGCCATGGTGGGGTTTGACTAGGTACCAGCAGGAAATTACTGTACAATTTAAAATTCCCCTGAATCACAAAATGAAAACAGCTACATTATAGTCAAGGGGAAGCTGGGGGGCTTTATGTACTTTTCAGGTTTGTGTTGAGGGCAAAGTAAATATTTCTGTTCTTTTTAGAAGCATAATGCCATTCGTCAATATCACACAGCAGAATTATTTCCTGTAGAGTAAATCCCCAGTCACAGAATTCTAGTTCCCATTTCACCCCAAGCTTGTCCATGATTACATTTGACAGATGTGGAAACTCCAGCACGTAGAAGTGTGGTGATTTCCCCATGGTCATAAATGAAGACAGAGACAGGAAAACACAAGTCCACTAGCAACTAATGTCAGTCTAGTCACTATACACAGAGGGTCTGATTTGCTGAGAACTTCAAGCTCTTGCTGTAGTCAAAGAACATCTTGAACATCAAGCCAACACTGGCTCTGGAAGGCTCAAGAACTGTTTGGAAAATTCAGGTTTTATTGTATCGAAAACTGGTACAAATATAATTCATAATTGCACCTTTATGAAGCACATTTTTCTCACGACAGCACTAACGCACTATTGCCCATCTCAGTACCAATCGTGACATTAGCAGAAACCGTTAATTAGTAATCTGAAAAACTGAATGAATGTTCATGTTTTTAACTCAGGGAACAGAGCGCAGTTTTTGCCTGGCCTAAAAACTCTCACGGGCTCTGATCAGCCAGGAACCTAGAGGAATATAATACTGTACAATTATAAGACCATCTCTGCACATTTTTCTGTGGTGATCAATAGCCTAGACTAGATAACCTGTAGTTCTTGGGTAGAAAGTCTCCCATTGATGTCTGTGGGACTTTTGCCTGTGTAAACAGCTGTAAGGCTGCACTGTTTTCCTTTTTGTGGGGCACTTTGAATACATACTGTATCCCTAAACATGTTACATCAGAAAAGATTAATAAACAAAAACTCCTACGAAAGGGAGGGAGCTTCTAACAGGCCTAGGCATCAAAAAGCTGTTTTCAGTTAAGACTTGAAATAAGATGAAAAGACACCAAGCTGAAGAATAAAAAGTCAGACAGTAGAAACTGCAGAGAAGATTCTGCAGTGGCCAGAAAATAAGTACGGACACTCTGGAGGGTTTAACTCTGTCAAGATGATTTTGTAACCTAGTACTAAGGAGGGATGTAAAATCTCAGTTAATCAGTTAACTGGTTAAACCTCAAGTTTAACTGGTTAATCGGGATCCTGCTCCTGTCCTCTCCCCTTCCCCCCCGTTGGGCTGCCACTACTGGTCCCCTGGGGGGGGAGGCAGCAGCATGTGCCAACAGCCCAGTGCATAGTGGGGGCTGGCTTCTGCTCCTGCCCCCGCTCCCCAAAAAGGTGGGGGGACAACTCCTGACTCCTGGGGGACTGGAGCAGCCCTCTGCCCATAGCAGGCTGCAGGCAGCTCCTGGATACAGGTTAACCACCACCCGGTAAGCATCGCCCGGTTACCCATTCATATCCCTAGTACTAAGGAGGCCAGATGGCTAAATTATCGAATCCCTGCAAGTCAATGGCTTGCTTTTGCTGGCTACCAGCTGCATTTTTATCAGGTTGGCAAACACCTCCATCGATTTCCCTCCCCCAAGGTCTCATCTAACAAACGCACAAGCTAAGAATGTGTCACGGAAACTACTACGGGCTTTTATACAGGCTCTGAAAGTGGCCTTGCACATTGTGCACAGGGCTTTTCCCATAGACACAGAGCGGATCTCAGTCACTGGGCCTGAAAACCCTACCACTGAGTTTTTAGTTACATATACTATATAACAGTGTTTCTCAGCCAGTGGCACGAGTACCCTTACGGGTTCTCCAGAGAAGTCTGGGGCGGTACGTCGTCCCAACTGAAATGTGAAGAAAACTGAATTTCTGTTTTAAGTGTGACAGCGTTTGATTCTTTTTCTACTGTTGACACCCAAAAACGTCATCGCCCGCCCAGCTCCGACTAAGTTGTTTAAACAAATGTGTTGCAAGGGTAGAAAAAAAATGGTGTGTCTGAAAACGGTTGGTACTGGGGATACTTAAAAAAAGGGGGGGAGGGTACTTTATAAAAAGGTTCAGACACTGCTACAGAAGCCAGGAATACAACGTGAGTCGCTAGATCCGGATGCAGACAGGCTCCCTCCTTTTTGAAAGCTCAATGCGGTGACCCTACGGCAGGGCCCGGAGAAAGCAGCATCTCTCCGCAGCGCCCCGCCAGGAGCCAGGGGGTGCAGGGGGAAGGGTCTCAAGGCCAGGAGCGCTCGCTGCCCATCCCCTCTGGCCGGCCGGGCATCCCAGGCCAAGGCTGCGCCGGGGAAGCAGCATCGCGGCTGGTTTCGCTTTCCCTTCCGGCTGGGTCTGGAGGCGGCGGCCGGGAAGGGGGGTTTGTGGAGGGGCGCTGGGTCCTTGGCCCCTGCCCGGGGTGGGGGGCGTGGGGGGGGGGCTGACCGCAGGGGGGGCTGGATCCCGGCCAGCGCCGGGAGGGGGGTCGGGGACCCCCTGGCCGGTCCCGCTCGCCCAGCCCAGCCGGAGGAGGGGAGATCGCGGTACCCGCTCGCCTTACCTGTGCCCCGGGATGCGGCAGGAGCCCGGGCCGGCGCGTAGCTCCCCCCGGCCCGGCCCTGCCCCCAGCCGCCGCTTGCGGCGCTTCCCTCCGGCAGGCCGGAGCCGGCTCCTCGTGCAGCCGCGAAGAGAAAGCGAAGAAGGGCCTGAAATCCCCCGGGCGGAGGGAAAGGGGGGGCGGCACAGGGATGGGGGGTGTTACGGGGTTGGGGGAGCTCAAGGGATCCCCCAAATGGGAGGGGATTGGGGGCTCAGAAATCCCTGCTGGGGGACCCTCACAGACATCCCCAAAGTGGGGGGAGGCTGGGGAGAGTGTGTGTGTTGGGGGGGCCTCAAAGGGGTTTCTCATAGGAGGGAGCTCAGAAGGATCCCCAATATGTGGGGGTGACTCTCCTGGGGGGGCTGGGGAAGCAAACGGGGGTCCCCAGTGGTGGTGGGGGAATGGAGGCGCTCGGAGAGGGAGAATCTCCTACTATCTGCAGAGTACTCAGAAGAGTCTCCCGCTCCTGGATACCTAAATAAGAACACCCAGGCCTAACTCTAAACGGCTTTGGTTTTGAACATTTGGAGCATGATCCCCTCAATACAAAGATTGTCAAAATGACTCGACTGCTCTCTCAGCTCTTGTACATGTACATGGATAGGTACATTACAGCCCCATTTAAGTTTGTGGGGTTTTTTTTTTAAAGAGTCTTACAAAACCAAATATTAAGGTTTTGTAATTTTTTTGCCAGCTGTTACATTTTATGACACAACAAAACCCTGATTTTTTTTGGGGGGGGGGAGTGTTTGTTTTCATAGAAATGTCTGCTGGATGGGCCCCCTGGGAAGTCATCAAGTCCAACGCCCTGCACTGAGACAGCCTCAAGTCAACCTAGACCGTTCCTAACAGGTGTTTCTCTGGCTCATTCTTAAAATCCTCCAAGAGGAGAATTCCACAACCTTCCTTGGAAGCCTATTCCAGAACTTAGCTTGATAAAAGACATTACCTCACCCATCTCACTCTCTAATATCCTAGGACCTACAGGGCTACAACACTACAAAGGACTTAAAGCTTTTCCTAATATCTAGCCTAAATTTTCCTTGTGTATTAAGTCCATTACTTCTTGCCCAACCTCCAGCACACATGGAGAACAATTAAGCACCCAGAATTGGACACAGTACTCCAGCTGAAACCTCACCAGTGCCAAGTAGAGCAGGACAATTACCTACTGTTTTACATATGGCATGCCCTTTAATATACTCTAGAATGACAATAGCCTTTTTGGCAAGAACATCATATTGTTGACTCCATTTCAGTTTATGCTACACTAGAATCCCCAGATCTTTTTCAGTAATTTCATTTAGACCACATACCTAGGAAGGTTTCTTCATAAGAAGGGGGTTCTCTTTTTTTTCCCCTGAGGACAAGTTGACAGAAGAATCGTAAAGTGGGAATTCAGGCTACTCCATACTTAGCAGGACTGGACCCTTACAGAGAAAGTTACAAGTGCAAATACTGCATCAGACCAATGGTCTATCTAGCCCAGCCCTGCCCAAAAGTACTTCTTTAATTCTGCATGTATTTTCTGTACTGCATTATAGAAAGGCTGAAAGAAACATTTAGGTGAGATCTTGAACTTCCTGCCTCTTTCCTTCCCCTCTCCTTATGTGGTAAATAGTTATATTCATGTGTGGGTTTTTTTTAAGAGCTCAGAAACATTCATCAGCTCCACTCACATGGTTGTTGTGTGACTCAGCTCTTTGGTTGTCTGCCCCATATAGCAATGTTCTTTTTTCAAGTGTTCTGTCACAGCTATGGTACAGGCAAGAGAAAACATTCCCAAAAATCTTTCCATTAAACTCCCACCTTCCTCTCTTAAATAGACAATGTCACATAACATAAGAAAATAGCATTTGTCATCATCTGAGAGATATGTTCTTTAGATTTCAAAAGAGTCGTTTAAAAAATCAAGCACAGTGGGAAAGTAGATCTAAAAAGGTAGACACTGTTTATGTAGGACTTACAATATTTATACTTTCCCCAAAGCTGTATTAGTGGTGCTCATGCACACACAATATGACCATGTTTGCAACTATCCACTACTGTTAGTATTGTGCACTAAAAAGCACTGCTCCCGGGAATGTTTCCACACCATCATTGTAGCAACAATCATTGTTTTAAGAAAGGTAGAACTGGAAAGGTTTGAATGGAATTATTAGAAACATTAATTTTATTTTCAGTCTGCTGA